AACCGGTGTCTGTCTCCACTTTCCAGCTGGAGCCTGGTTTGCAGCCTCAGTTGTCGCAAAGATCGTATGATGAGTTTATGTAACCAGTTCTCACGCCTCCACCGCTTCTTTCTGACTTCCATGCGCCCTCCAATCTCGAAGCAGATTCCGAACGAACGAGTCCCACCCTGTCCCACCGTGCCCCTATCTCCTAGACTCCTACCGCATCGAGGGTTCCAGTCTCTCTTGGCATCGACAGCGACGCTCTACGCTGGCAAGATCCTCAGTGTTGGGCGTCAAAGTCTGCCGGTCTCCTCCGAGTCTAAATGTGCTCCCTACGTCCGCACACTCAATCGCCGCACCTCTGGTTGCCTTGCCACATCACGGACAGCTTTCTCGATGCTCTGACTACAATCTTGATACACTGCTCGCGGAACCGTAACTGCAGGCTGTGTGCGTCGCTATACCCGCTTTGCTACCGCTCTTATTAAGTCTCTTCCTCCCGCACATCGTGGCCCCCGCTCGATCCCATATCCCATGAACCCCTTCCGCGCAGCAGGCGACTGTGTACATTTCGCGTCGAAATGCATCCTCATCTGGTCAATCCATCGAAACAACAGTGCCGAAGGCGAGTAACCCGTCACAACTCTCACACGTCATTGACTCGTATGCAAGGCATCTCCCTCCTAACTCAAGCAATGTACGCACTCGTCTTCATCATGCGCTACATCGATCTATTCTTCCGCTGGGTCTCTCTGTACAACTTTGCGATGAAAATCATCTACATCGCGTCGGCGGTCTACGTCCTCGTCCTCATGTCTTTCCTCTACACACGTACACCCGAGAGCCCCATGGCCTGGCGTGCGGCGACTATCTCCGTGGTCTTGTCAGCTATATGGGGTTTATCATTCAACTACCACTTCTCCGTGACCGAGGTACGCATGCCAGCGAATTACTTGTAGTTCCCCTCGCTCATTCACGCGCATCCTAGATCCTCTGGTCCTCCTCGATATTCCTCGAATCGACTTGTATACTCCCACAACTCATCCTCATCCGACAAACCACCATCCCCACCGTAATAACTTCCCACTACCTCCTCACGCTCGGCTCCTACCGATTCCTATACATCCTCAACTGGGGGTGGCGCTACCATTTTGACAACGTCCTCGACCCGATAGCGCTGTCTTGTGGAATTGCCCAGACGGCGTTCTATGTCGACTTCGCATGGGTTTATTATACGAGACAGCGGGTTAAGCTACGGGGTGGGTTGGTTGTGGATTTGGAGGACTATGAGAGGGGCTGGTTGACGAGGTGGTTGGCCGGTGGTGGAAAAGATGAGCTTGAGTTGGGGTGGAGGCCGTTGGAGGCTACGCGGGATAATGATGAGGAGGCTGCAGTTTGGTGGAATTGCACTCCCGACTGGCGAGGATTCCGGCGAATACGACGAACTTGCAACAATGTCCCCCGTGTTTGTCAATAAGTATGTTGCCTGGCCAAATTTCAGCTCGCCCTTACACCCCGGCTGTCAACAAGCTGTCAAAGGTGTCCCTTCTGGGACGTTCCGCTTAACCGGATTCAAAGTCCGATCCTTCGGATAGGCATCCGTCTGATGCGTACACAGAAATTGGGAATAGGGGCAGTATATAAGCAACACTCGGAACCCTCTCCTTTCAGTCCCACTGCTACCATTCAACCATGAGTGTATGTAAAGACTGCTTCAAAGGCCAGCGCCCCCCCAACTTCCTCCCCATTGCTGACGAGCTGGTATGTAGGCGTCACGCATGATGGAGCTCCCGAGGGTACTAGTACTTGCTTAGAGCTCGAACTCGAACTGTTATTTTGACTCCGGATCACGCAGGCACATTCGAGACGATCGCCGGGATTAAATGTTACGTCGGCACCCCCACCGTTGACTATCCCCGCGACAAGGTTGTCCTGTACCTGACTGATGCGTTTGGTCTTCCGCTGGTGAACAATCAGGTATGTGTGTCGTCCTCCTTGAGTTTTTTTGGTTCACCAGGAGAAAATTCGAAAGCTGCTTGTCGATGATTTCGCGCGGAATGGGTTCAAGACCATCTTACCCGACTATCTGAACGGAGACGGAGTCCCCTTGGATGTCATGACATCGGTAACGTTAACGTTCTCTCACCGACCTACGCACACTCAACCCCACAACAGGGTGTACCCTTCGACGTCCCTGCCTGGATCGGCCGGCACAGCGCCGACGTCACCCGGCCGGTACTCGATAAAGTCATAGATGCCCTTAAAGCTGAGGGCGTGACGTCCTTCGCCGCGGTGGGATATTGCTTCGGAGGGCGCTACACGTTCGATTTGGCGTTCGACGGTGTGATCAAGGCGGCGGCGGTGGCGCATCCGTCTTTGTTGAAAGTCCCTGAGGATATCGAGGTGCGAGTCCATAATCTTCATAATAGCCAAGAGCAAACTCTCACTTGCGGGACGACAGAAATACGCCTCAACGTCGAAAGCGCCCCTCCTCATCAACGGCTGCGAGTTGGACGATCAGTTCACGCCCTCAGCGCAAGCGACGACTGATTCGCTCCTGGAGGAATTCGCGCCGGGGTACAAACGCGAGTACTTTGAGAGGGTTCACCATGGGTTTGCTGTGCGTGGGGATATGAGTGATCCCAAAGCCAAGGCGGGCAAGGAAGGCGCGTTCAAGGCGACGGTGGAGTGGTTCCACAGATATCTTTGAACTTTGAAATGTCATCCTTATTATAATAATCAACGCGTCCAATTGGCCTTCCGTGCCGCGTTCAGTCCAAACATCTGCAGCAACGGCCATCTTCGAGCTGCCTTCAAATTTTTGCTACTACGACCAAACTTCGCAGCTGATTATTCACACGGACCAACCGTGGAGACTGATCGCGTGCTAATTTATCCAGGCAGAGACCACGATCGCGCCGCCGGATGACTGGCATGCTTACGCAGAAGCTCGGATATCATCCGCCCATGCATACGCAAGCGCTTGATCAAGCCCAGTTGATGGTGGGAACGCGGACCGCACCGCAGCTTCTTTCACTCCCACCACCATGAGCTTCTGCAAGGACTGCTTCAAAGGCCAGTGTTCTCCCCACTCCTCTCCCTCGCGGCACCCCTGAGACGGATTGTAGGCGTCAGACACGATGGAACGGTGGAGGGTACGCCGGAACCATCCCATCCCCCGCACTCTCACTTACGTGCCGGTGACACAGGCAAAATGGAAACGATCGCCGGCATTCAATGCTACGTCGGCACCCCCACCGTCGACTACCCCAAGGACAAGGTCATCCTCTACCTCGCCGATGCATTCGGGCTTCCGCTCGTCAACAATCAGGTGTGTGTGTCTCCGACGGCCCGCCGCCGAGGCTGACGATGGGAAAATCGCGTAAAGCTACTAGTGGATGATTTCGCACGGAATGGGTTCAAGGTGCGTCTTGCGCTCGGGTCGGGAGTGATTACAAGTGAACCACCTTCAGACCATTCTCCCCGACTACTTCAACGGCGACCCCGTCCCCGAGGATATTATGACCTCAGTATGTACCCCCTCTCTTCGAAATCGCTCTCCAACTTGGACACCCAGGGCAAATCTTTCGACATTCCTGCCTGGATCGGCGCACACAACCCCGGCGTCACCCGGCCCATCCTCGATAAGGTCATCGACGCTCTGAAAGCCGAGGGTGTCACCTCTTTCGCCGCGGTCGGATTCTGTTTCGGCGGCCGATACACGTTTGATTTGGCGTTCGATGGTGTCATCAAGGTCGCAGCGGTGTCGCATCCTTCTTTGCTGAAGGTTCCCGAGGATCTTGAGGTGCGCGTCGGCATACTACTTCTATTCACAGCTCAAATCAAAAATAGAAATACGCCTCGACTGCGAAAGCCCCGCTCCTCATCAACAGCTGCACCACAGACGAGCAGTTCCCGCTCTCCGCGCAAGCAAAGGCTGATTCCATCCTCGCGGGCTTCGCGCCGGGATACAAGCGCGAGTACTTTGACGGGTGTACCCATGGGTTTGCGGTGCGTGGGGATATGAGTGATCCCAAGGTGAAGGCCGGGAAGGAGGGTGCGTTCAAGGCGACGGTGGAGTGGTTCCATGAGTATCTTTAAAAATCTGTGTATCTGAACATTGAATTGCAAGTTGTATCGTCCACCCCGCTCACCCGCCAACTATCAGAGTTGTACTCGTGTCCACCGGATCTGGGCACGCTCGGGCGCTGGTGTGCAAGCGTTGCGCGTGCATAAGACATATATTGAATGGATGGATGTAAGTACCTATTCGCTAAACACGGGGTAGGTTTTTATGTAATTCCATGGACGCTGGGAGCGCTGCCGATCGCGGTGAATGATGTCCTTTGCCACACTCTTAGCGGGTGCATGAAGCCATGAACGCTGGTCTGCCATTGACATGGGAATTCGCAAAAAGGCTGCCTGACTCGTCAACTAAGTTTGGCGGATGACAATCAGGACTTGATCAGGACATAATTTGCAGGGAGGAATTCCGAATGAGATGGTGGACATGAATGCGGTGGGTGGACGAGATTCATGGCGGTGACTTGTATAACTGTCAATCTGGCACGGAGATCACAAGGAGCTAGCAGAGAAGTCGCTTGAATCACTGATCCCATTTTTCAGACAACTAAGTACTTACAGCTAATTGCAAAACTCGGGAGCGCCTTGAAAAAACTTTACAAGCGACTTCAAGCGATAAATGAGATTGAGATTCCAATGAAGCCGTGTTCCACAGCAGCAATTAATTGCAACCACTGAGTCCTTTGCCCGAAAGCTGTCCAACTTTGAGAAGTGCTGTAGATATGCAGTTGGCTGTGTGGTGCTTACCTTTCGGCTTCAATCTCGGTGATAGAAGGACCATTACGAGTGTTCCCACGGTTGAGCAGCTGTTGAAAAAGTCATCAAAACAATTTGAGTTGAAGCAGAATGTCCCACGGTTCATCAAATGTTGATGCGCTGCCTCTGCGCGCGCAAAAAAGGCACAGAGTGGGGCAAAACAAAAGGATATATAGCGTTGGACCGATTGGGAATTGAACCCAACACCTCTCGCACGCCCTTGATCACGTGACTGTGCTAAGCGAGCGTGATAACCAACTACACCATCGGCCCGACAAATGCCGATGAATTTCGCGCTTGCCAAGGTCTCAGAGGCCAGACTCGAGAATAGAGCACTACTGCCGCCAGTATTAGACGTGGGAAGACGGAGAGGATGAGGGGATACTTCAGGAGCACTCGGGGAACATTTGGACTTGGGAGCAAATCCCAGAAACAATTGGCCTCGAATGGATCAACAATGGATAGTACCCTACGAGCATTGACTGTGCACGTATGGAACCTACTACGATACTCTACTACAAGTATCACGGTCAGCGACTCAAAATGCCAGAAGGTTCCATCGGGCGCAGACGCACGGCTTCGACAACTACATCCATCCCTTTTCTGGTCTACGTCAAAGGAGTCAAATCGCAATGCATTCGAATCTGAATCAAGAGATTCGATATGCCAATGACGACCGGTGTGCAATCCAAGGCAACGTATTGGATGTTGGAGCCGTATTGGTAGGTGATTATGTGGAAGATGCCCCAAGTGCTGGAGGGTAAGTCAGTATTGGTCCTTCTTTGGTGAAATGGGAACAGGACGAACGTGAGTAAACCGGCGCTGTGGATGAAGATTTTGATTATTTGGGCCTGCGAGTCTCGTCTTAGTAGCTTCCTAGATACGGGATGGAGCGAGCCGCATACGGAGACTGATATCATGCCAAAGGATTTGAGCTCTTGACTTTTATTCCATAGCTTGTACCATATGAATCCTAGAAGCCGTTAGTATTCAAAGCAACGTTGATCAAGGGACAGCGCACCAGTTGTATAAAACGCCGTGCTGAGCTGAATGAGTTGGAGTTCCGAGGCAGCGGGTGATAATACCCACCACAATCCAAAGAAACAAATCCCCGTCGTCCATCGGTGATACTCAGCCTTGAATATACTGTCTCCGGGTGTGTACACGGAAAGCTGGTAAGTCAGCCCAACGCCGAATGCTGCGAATTCATCGAGTCAATTTCAATCTACAAGACGAAGTAGACGCCTTACTCGTGAGACCTATGAGCATGATGATTGGAACGATGATAACACGCGTTCTGAATCCCCAGATTACCCAGACGTTGTAAATCTGGGGAGTCAGTAAGTACTGCCGCAAGAGCTAAAACGTTAACCCACCCCAAGAGACCTGCTAATGAACATGGCGACCACGAGAACCGAGTATTTGATAATCTCTGTGCTATGAGAGAGATCGTCGTAGAATCGAACAGCACTGAGTGGGTCGTCTTGGTGGAATGCGAGGAAGAGGCGAATGATATTGAGGAGCCAGTGCTACGACGATTCGGCATCAGATACTTGTTTTCGTACAAACGCATGCGCACCGTCGTAATAGCCAGAAAGAGCGCAACGTATCCGACTCGCATGGCCGAAATACCCACATTGGAGCGATGATTTCCGCTGCCCGTGCTATGCCGCGAGTTTCTACGCTCATCATGACGTTTGAGCATGAGGTAGAGAGTGCAGGAGGCGAGGACGGTGTAGACGCCATAGAGGCAGCTTTCGAGGACGACGACAATGAGGTTGGCGCTGAGCAGTGAGATGTCGAGGAACATGGACCTTGAGTGAGCGGTGCGCCGCGTGTAGATATAGGCGTTGAGTTGAAACGAGGTTGCATTACTAAAGCACTAATGCGATGCACGACGGTTGAATGTCAAGCTACCCGCGATGAAGAAGAGATCCGGCATTGACGGCGCGGCCGGCGTTTGTCAAGAGACAGCGTTAGGTTTTAGCGGCGTGAACATCGGAGCCGGGAGAAGTCGTGCCAGGAAGTGTTGATGTTGCTCTGCCCCTGTCGGGGCGTTGTTCGACCGAGGGAGCTTTAGGCAATCTTTAGGGTCTGGGTGTGTCGTGTTCGGCAGCCCAGCTCCGATTGTACACCGGGTCCGGATCGAATTTGGAAACGTTCGTGGTAGGCTAGACTCGTGCCGAAACCAATGTGTGTCCGAAAATTGCGATCGTCTTGTGTGCGGCTATTCACATAAGTACACGTGCGCTGCCACAACTTACAAGTCTTTTTTTGTGCGGACACTTTGCTGAAAGTGACCTGGCCTTCGGCGTCTGAGCGATGGACGGGACTCTGAGATAACGTCAGAGTCGGAAAACGGGACGGACTCAGCGGCCTGGACTTGCGTGGAGGATCTGAAAAAACTGGCCAAAGACGCATGGTGGTGGTTGATGAGCGAGGGCAAGATCAGATCATGATGCACAGGTCTGCGCCAACGTTCGTCAACGCCATCCAGTGTCCACCGCCCCCAATTCCCACAGTCCCACTGCCCGACGCCCGTTCTCTCTTCAAGTCTCTTGCTGGTAAACGGATACTTCATTGTCTCCATGAGTCGGAGTCATGTCTACTACCACCCTCCAATTGCCGGCACATCTGTGCGTGCTTGCCCCGGGCCCCCAGAGTTCTGAGAGCGGCAGCCTTCCAAGGGTGGATCCTCTCAAGGTAAAAAAAGCTTTAATCCACCCCGGAAGATTCATTCTAACGCTGCACAGGACCGTTATTTGTACGCGTCGTTGTAAGCCCCTTATCTTAGACGCCGATCGTGGAACATAGCCTCATCCTCCTCCTTGTCTTCCACCACAACAGTGTATGTCTGACCCCGCCACGTCCACTCCCCAGGGTACAGTACGTGTCCGTCCTCTCCAGCCATAATCGTCCCGAATAACTCTCTTCAAGGCCCCGTACGGCGCACCCCCGATGCCAGCACCCGCCTTCCCTTCAGAGTATCCCGCCTTCCCCGCCACTTCACCCACTGGCGGCTTCGCACCGCCCGCTGGCCCCCCGCCTCAGAGCTCCGTCTACGCCCCGCCCGCTGGCCCCCCGCCAACTCAAGGCTCGCTCTACGCACCGCCACCCGGATTTCCGCCCGCCCCTGCAGGAAACTACTACAACGCCTACCCCGCTGGCGCCATCGAGCCTCCGATCGTGTACTACCGAGGCGTCGCGATCCACAATCCCAAGTTCTCGGGTGTCATAGCGAAATACGACGGCGCCGACCAGGATATTGCCAGTCTTTTGAGTTTGAAGGGGAATGGCCGTGCGTCGTCCGATTTTACTTCTTCGTGGCATCTACTTACTTTGGCCTCAGTCATCCCTGCGCTCACGAAACTCGGTCCTCTCAAGACGGAGGTCGTCGTCCGTGATTTTCCGTCTCACCCGAATAACAAGAAGTGTGTGAGCCTCAAGGATCATATCAAGCGTGAAACGAGTGGGCTGGTCGAGTGCGTTCTTCTTCCCTACTCGCTTTCTTGGATTTGAGATTCACTTGTGCAGGGACGGTCTGCTCGGCTTGATTCTCGGGCCAGTACGCTACGATGCGGATCGGGTGCGCAAGGCGCTACAAGGCCTCGGGTGCGTCTCTCTCACCAATCCCATTCCTCCCAACCTCATTCGATTGCACTACACAGGACAAACGAAGAAGTCCTCAATGAAATCGTGCTCGAGCTTGCACCGCAAGATTGCAGCCTCCTCACGTATGTCTACCGCGAGACGTACGGCAAGACGATGTTGGAGGATATCAAGGGCGATTTGAGTGGTTCTGTGGCGAAATGTGCGTTTCTGCTCAATGTGTTTCAGTGGGTTGGACTGACGGCGATGTGTAGTATTCGAGACGGCGGTAGACGTGCATCGGCGTATGCTTCCGGATGCGAACACGCCGGACCACAAGCAGCTCGCGATGGACGATGCGCGTGATTTGTACAAGGCTGGGGAGGGGAAGATGGGTACGAATGAGGTTCGTTTGATTTTGAATCATGGGTATCGTCTGGATTTAATTGACCGGCGGCAGGCTACATTCCACACGATCTTGACGGGTCGTACGCCACTTCATCTCGTGGAGGTGTGTCGTCAGTATTTGGACAAGCAGGGAAAGGCTTTGTCCAAGGCGATTCAGAATGAATTGTGAGTTGTCGTCCCCCTCTTCCTTCGCCTTCACTGGCTGACGGTTCCTGTAGCAGTGGGGATGAGAAGAAATCTCTCGAATCCATCATCGTCGGCGCTGAACTTGCCCTGTCGCATCCCGAGTTTGACCCGCAGGCGTTGAGAGATGCAAAGTTTTTGGAAGATGCGATGGGGAGTGAGGGGTTGTTGTTGATGCGGTGAGTTTTACATTCCACCCCGCTCCGAGACGTCCTACTTGGATGCTAACTGGGCACAGGATCCTCCGCGCGCATTGGTCTCGCCCGCGCATGGACGCTATAACAGCTGCGTTCCCGCGTGTGCAGGAGAAGCACAAGGGGTTGGCGCTTTTGTCGGCTTTGGATAAGATCAAGAAGGAGAAGGGCGCGTTGAGGGATTTGTTGGTTGGGCTCGTGAAGGGGGAGGGGGTTTGATTCGACCGCGAGTGGGTGAATGTTTGTACTGTATTGCGTCTCGAGAATTTGAACTGTATTTGTGAAAAGTAAAAAATCCTTTGATGATGACAGGACATGAGTAAACCTCGAATCGAACGAGCATCTACACTGTATCCAAGAAACTTCGCAGCCATGCAAGAAATTGCGTGGTGTGCCTCGACTGTCAGGTCCGGTGGTACCTTAGAATACCAAAAACGTTTGCCATACCTAGCCATGACCTAACCTCGAATCGAACGAGCGTGTGGACGTTGTGAGTGCCACCATCCGAGTCAGACGAGACAGTGGGCGATCACTCGCCAGGAGGGTATGCAAGACAAACCTGTAACGGGCTCAAGAGTCAAGAGACACCTAAAACCGCCATGGAGAAAAGAGAGCCCATGCCACCAAGTAGGGTCAAAGCGTATGATAGAAACCAAAGAGGACAAAGGACGCTTGGGATTCTGCCACTTCCCTGAAACGGAAACAATGAGCTTTGGTTCATCAAAAGTTCAAAGCGACTTGGCTGGGCGTCTACATAAAGCTGTTGGACGCCTGTTGACTTCTGCCACCACCATCCCACCCGCCAGACCACCCGTCATCTGCCTTCACTGTTCTCTCTCACCGCTCGCTCGCTGTATACATCCCCGACGAGGAATCATGCCGAAAGACACGACAGACCAC